TCATTCTATTCAGTGGTTCTCTAGAAGAAGTTCAAAATGTAAAAAGTTAACGACGACGACGGACGACGACGACGACGGACGACGACGGACGACGAACGCCAAGTGATGAGAAAAGCTCACTTGGCCCTGTGGGCCAGGTGAGCTAATAAAAAAGTACCAATAATCATATATACTGGCTGGTCCTGAAGAAATCTTTTCGACTGATATAAAGTGTTTATCAAAGACACCCATTTTAGTTTATTCGATTATTTTATCCTGAGCGATATCGAGGGGTAAAATACGAATATAAATGCCCAACCTATGGTTAAATGAAAACAGATCTACGGCTGCCATGAATTATTTCGATTCTTATAGGACAAACACGGTAATTTTGTCAACCGTGAAAGCCCTATATACACGATACTGTATTGACTGTTCCGTTTTAAACCACCCCCCTTTTTTCCATATAATAATATTAATGATATATAATTATTCAATAACAAATAAAAAAACTCACATTTTTCAACTAAAGCTGTTCTCTATATCGAATATTATTACATTTTGAGGCGTACAAGAAGCCTGAAAATGCCAGGTGTCCATATTTGACGCTGGAAGCATATATATGACGTGACCTTGTTAAGTTGCCAAAGATGATAACATTATTTCGCGGAATTTTCGTTTTATGATATTTTACATCGAAATAATAACTGAAATAGACTGACTTTGCATTAGAACAGAGATAACCGTATTTGAAGCTTGGCCTACGTAAAACGTAGGTTTTACTGTCAAAATTGAGTTTACCTGGTCGTATAAATAAGATGGGCGCTACGCGGAACAGCCAATTTTGTGTATTAATGCGTCTGTGCTAAAAGTAGACATACTGGTTGACGATATAGTTCGTCATATTAGAATGACCAATAATATACCGTACCAAAGATAACTAATATCACTGAGAAAGTTCAATACCTAATCTGCTGATTAGAAATCATACCGTCCTTCACTCTAACATCGTTTGCTGCACTTCAAAGAAGTTTTCATTCATTAACGCAATGAACAGTATAGGGGGACACAATATTATGCATTGCGTAATTCAAGCCGTACAGTATTTCAATTCAGAAAAAAAAATTCAAAAGAAACATTATAGTTTTGATACAAACTATCAATTAGAGGATTGACCGTATCCCCAAAATACAAGATGCAGTAATTTAACGACTGGGGTATAATTAGAAATTTTAGCAATAAGTCTTTTTAGCGAAAGATTTGATGGACAATTTCCCAACTTGTTGGCTTTATGAATACAATAACCGTAAACACCTGGATGGAAAATACGACTTATAATTGCAGGTCTGCAGGTAAAACCAAACTTCAAAAGTAAATTTATATATATGTGTAAAAAATTAGTAACAGTTTTGACCATAAAATGATATGTATATCCATGCTGCAAAAGCTTTCAAATATTTGAAATTTGAAAATTTATCGTTCATTGCAATCTGAGACGTCATGTAAAAACGTACATATAGAACCAGCTGAGAAATGTAAACTGAATAAAATAGAGCCAACTGAAGATCATCATTGAGAAAAATAAAAGTAATTATAGAAAAAGAAAAGTAGACGCATTTTTCACAGATTTTGACATGAAGAGTACGAGAAATTATAATATAATGTTCGGTCACTAGTGATGTTTAGTTTAGTAAGAATGAGTTAAGGTTAATAATTATCATTCATGTAAAAAATCTGTCAATGGTTATATCTTCCAAATTTTCGCAGGTTCTGTTAAAATAATATCTATCAAGTCGTGCTTCGTTGATTCTGTCTTATAGATACAATGGATACGCGTTGATTCTTGAAAAAGAAACCATGAGCCCGGAGAGCTTATCCATTGTATCTCTAACTTAAACTATTATGTTGATGTCTTTTCAAAATTAAAGCCTTTTCTTAATTAGAAGGTATTGTAAGTGAGTTTAAATAACCATGTTATCATGTTCAACGATGCATTAATAAATCTAAATTAAAAATTAATTGGTTAGAGAAATACAAATATTATATAACACGTCTGTCTTTGAATTATCAGGCATCTGAATATTATCCGTAATTTACAAAATAAGACATATTCGAACTTATTTCTAAGTATATATGATAATTATGTTACAGGAATTTCTAGCAAGAAGCCTAATTCTAGGCACATTACGATTTACTCGCATAGGGATTTGCGAATAAACATGTGTAAAAATATGTAGTTAAACAGATGAAAATATCCTACTATATTTATAAAACAAAAATGGACAAATTGAATGTAATCATTTATGTTTCAAATATGTGAAATAGACACTTATAGTCCAAAAATAAACGGGAAACCCGCTATTATTACAAAAATATCCACAATAACATACAAAAAGAAAAGGGACAACAAAGAGAATACAGGGATTCAAACCTAAGTCGACAAGTCTCTACCTTTAACTTGACTCTTTAACTCATTGATCTTTACCATGCTAACCTCGCGGCTACCAACTAATAGTATATATATGTTCATTTATATATATAAAATAGACATACTATTGTAACCCATTGGTAGCCGAAAGGTTTCGTCGATGTGTTGATGTCAGTTACACATAATAGATTTCAAGGAGGGGCTTGATTCCCAGTGAAGGCTAATAAAAATTACAAAAATTAAAAGTAAGTTTTTACTTTAATTCCATGAAAACTTAATGAAATTAGGTACACAAAGAAACCAATTGAATATAATTTGATGAATCCATTTCGGCGACAGATTTATGTAGCGTTGATTCTAGAAAAAGAATCCACGGTAATTGAATAGGCTGACGTCACGACAATGGTTTAATTATGAATCTTTACCACATACCATCATTCAATACAAAGCCACAGTTTTAATAAATCCCTTAGCTGTTTCTCTAAAAGATAAACTTAAATATTATAAGCAAAAGAGATTATAACCGTTTTTTGGATGTCTGATTATTGTACTTTTGTAAGTTTTATAACTAAATAAGAATTAAAACGACTGCAATAGCCATTGTGACACCCACATTTATCAAACGATTACTTTATTGAATAGGAAAAGATCTCTTTAATAATTGCGTCAGAAGGTCGTAAATGCAGACAAACTGACTTTCATAGAAAGGTAGTTGACTTTAATGCATCTATAAATATTAGCTTTATCACAATATTATACAACGAGATCTGAACAAAAACCCAAAATATTTACTGGATGCAGATTCAAATCGAAACTTATTAAATTTTTTGTGTAATCCAAGAAGGCAATACATAGCGGAATCTTGTTGAGTTAAGTAGCAGCTTTCATTCTAGTCGTTTTGAAACGTATTCCTCTACGATCTTTATTTTTGTTTTGAAATTGAAGGTGTTAACATACTACGTTTGGCTTTTGATCATGCGACATTTCAAAACACATTTGTATGTTATCCATGTCGACAAAGTTAACATCTGAAAAATTCTAGTCTACCATTTCCATGTTCACACAATTTGTTTTTAACCTTTTATTGAACGTTTCAATAGTTGCCCTGATTACCTTTCAGACAATAATTTTAAGAAGAAAAAAGTCAAACAAATAAATTAAATGGCATATATAGTTAGAAATTGGCATTCTCATGGGAACCAACTGTGTCCCTCTTCTTGCCGTCTTGTTTCTTTATTCATATGAGGCTGACTTCATACACGAGCTTCTTAGTAAAAATGAAAAGAATAACGCTAGCATTATCCTTTAACTTGACTTTCCGCTATGAAGATGATGTCCTCTCACTAAATAATTTAAAGTTTGGTGACTATGTTCCATCGAACTTGAAATAAAGGATACAACAGCTATAGTTAAGTCTGCCTCATATTTTGACTTATATCTAGAAATTGACAATGAGGGTCGGTTGAGCACAAAACTTTAGGACATAAAAGGTGATTCAGCTTCCCAATTGAAATTCTCCATTTCTATGTAGTGACATTCCAGCAGCGCCTGGATATGGAGTATATATCTCTCAGATGTTATGATATTTCAGGGCTTGCGTTAAGATTTCCTTGATAGAGGGTTGCTGTTCACAAGGAAGCTTTTTAATCAAGAGTTCCAAGTGGTGAAGTGGAAATCATCCCTTCGAAAATTTTATGAATGCCATTACAAGTTGGTTGACCGTTACGGAATTTTTTTTTACAGATGACGACGGATATGTTTGTAACTACATTCCCGTCCTTCTTTTTCCCAAATATGACCTACCGAATTATACTAATCACCGAGTTTGTACTTACCTGAGCAACACGACGGGTACCACATCTGGAGCAGGATCTGCTTACCCATCCAGGTTTTTGGTGGGGTTCGTGTTGCTCCGTCTTAAGTTTCTATGTTGTGTTTTGTACACTGTTGTTTGTTTTTTGGTCTTTTTTTATTGCCATGGCGTTGTCAGTTGATATTCGACTGATGAGTTTGAATGTCCCTTTGTATCTTTCGCCAATCTTTTGGAAGAAATATTTGTTTTTCTAAATACGGCTATCAAGTAAGGATCGTATGATACATTGTAGATAGAATTTTTTTTTAAACCATGTGAGCGAGCAAAAACCATAGCATCACTGACTAGTTTTTAATTCTCGCTCTTTCTTATATGACTGGTAATAGCAATTTTAATAAATAATTTACTGAATATAGGGATAACTTAAAATATGCCGTCTATATCAAATTAATAAATTGACATTTTTCTACTTTTCAATCGAAATGAAATTAAAAAGGTTTATCGCCAAATGGCAGTTGATCCTTATAACAATATAAAGCTGGTATAATATTCATTAGGATCTTTCAAAACTATTTGAAGAAAAAATAAAAGTAATGTTCTTAGAATAATAATATTCATATAATTTGATCTGGAGCACGGGAAATAATTTATATTCAGACATATTTGTTACGGGTTGATATTTTTTATTCAGCAAATTGACTGCATAAAGACAATGTTAACCAGTCAAAACAAAATTTCAATGTCGGAAGTCCGGAGGAAAAAGTACGACATGTAAATTGACAAGCTCACAATAAACAAATGCGTCGGCTGGTTTTTATTCAACTGATGATTTATTCAATATGGCAATTTTAGGTGCTTTGTTTCTTGTAATGTATATTACTTTGAATAATATGGATGTCGGTTTGAGCGTGAATTGGCATTCATTTAGAAGTAAAAAGTACATATTTATGGAAGAAAAGTTAAACTGGTTTGATGCTCAAACTGTTTGTCACGCAATGGAAAGTTTTTTGGCACATGAGATGAGTGCAGATGAAAACAGTTTCTTAATCTCCATATTAAACAGTAAGTACGTTTTCTTGAAAAATGGGTACAATCGGTCATATTTATAAGTTTGAAACTAGATGAAGCAATATTCTCTATTTAATATAAATACAACTACAATACAGTAACATTATATAGTATACCGCTTAACATTTAAAATAGCAATTTCTTTTAATTAAATTTATACATTCTTTACAGATGTATGATTTTTGTTGTACAAGTAAATGCATTTTCCTTCAAATGTTATTCTTGCTCTTGATCGGATAACTGTTTATCTTTTAGTATAGTTGGTGTCTTAACTTTTTGTTTATGTATATTTTTCAATCAGTTGGTATTCGATATACAAATTTCATACAGGTTGAAGCAGAATATTATTATATTTTCACTTGATGAAGCATGAGATGACCAATTATTATGCCATTTTCCTTTCCTTTTAAATATTGCAAACGGCGTACTTTTTTATAATCCCTTATGACTGTTTCAGAAAAGCGGTTCGGACGCATGACATTTATACAGTATTTTTTTTCTCCTTTTTCTGGTCTATACTGCTGGTGGTAGACTATGAGTCCCCGTGTGCATCATCAGCTCAGTGGTCAGTACTTCGGTACTAACGTGATTTTTAACAAATCGTTCTAAAAAATTTCGTTTATAAATTCATAGATTATAAAAACTCATTTTTAACTGCCTCACTGAACAGGTGAATAGATATAACTTACTAGCTATATTTTCAGATAAATTAGTGTCATGGTTTCTATCTTCTCATATTTTTATTTCTTCATAAAAGAATTATTTTATTAACTCCCAATATATTTCAAACCTAAAGAGATCAGTATTTTTATATTCAAGGTGATGATCCATTTTACATAGCTTCAGTCAGAAGACATAACTGCTCCAGACCACTCATTACATATTTGTTGTGTATACGTATAGTATTTTTACTTCCGATACACTTGTAATCCGGATGTAATGTATTGCTGGATATGATTTCATAATCAGGTTATCAATGAATCAACGATGGGGCAGATGGTATATCACAGCTAATAAATTGGTGCAGAGGGTATTTGTTCACACATTGTTGTCAATATAAAGGAATTTTATGCGACTGCCATACAAGTGAGAGGTTAACCTAGCTACAAAACCAGGTTTAATCCACAATTCTCTGCATAAGGAAATGCCTGTACCAAGTCAGGAATATGACAGTTGTTTTCCATTTGTTTGATGTGTATGTGTTTGACCTTTTGATTTTGCCATTTGATAAGGGACTTTCCGTTTTGAATTTTCCTTAGAGTTTGGTATGTTTGTTATTTTATTTTTTTTACAGGTAATAAATTATTTAAGAGGGTATATAACATCTAATAAACTGGTACAGAGGATATATTATAGCTAATAAACTGAACTGAAATCATCATCATGGAATAAAAATGTAAACTTTCTAGGATTTAATTATGTAGGGACGTATTCAAAAGAAAAGTCCGACTTTATTAAATTATTGTTGAGTGAACTGTTAAAGGATTTAGAAAAATGTAAAATCACAAAAATACCGAACGTCGAGGAATATTCAAAACGGAAAGTCCCTTATCAAAATGCAAAATCAAAAGCTTAAACACATCAAACGAATGGATAACAACTGTCATTCTCATATGAAGGATATATTCAATCAGAGTTGTAGCCATAAGAACAACTGGACATGAAAGATGAATAAAAGATGGATACATCGAAATAACAGATGTTGTTCAGTGTTTTGTTATGCATAGACAGACACTCTGATGTTGAGTTATTCTTATTAGATATTTGCTGTGTTCTAATTATTGTTTTGGGTTTGAAATTGTTTTTGCGGGTAGATTTTGGTTTTTAAATACGTTTCATTTAAATAAAGATCCACATATTTAAGTGTGCAATGACAATAAAGTGAAAGTTTTATCTGTTTTGTTGTATTCAATTTATTCGTCTTTAGCAAAGACTTAATTTAATATACAAATTGTATTTTGAGAACAGAAATTCACCTTATTGATAATAGAACTGGTTCAAGTATTTTCAGAAGTATTTCAACATTGTAATTCTGGTCTACACAAGGAATATCTGTTGCTCATCTTTGCTCTTCATCGATGCAATAAAAGTACTACATACCTGTAGGGGCAGAACTGGGATCACATCGTTATATTAGAGTCGAGTTCAAGCCTTCTTGTATGATTTCCTGCTAAGGGTCTTATTGTTATAGGCGACAAGTGTACGGAATTGTCCTCTGGTGGTTTGGTACTGTTGAAATGAAATCAATTTATTTGTGAATGGAAAAAATCCAAAATGGGTTACTCTCTGAATTACTTCACTATAAAGATTTTAATATTTTTCTTCTGCTTGGAAAAACTGCATGGATCGGAGGTGCAGATATTCACCAAGAAGGAGACTGGAGATGGTACAGTCCTTTAACAGAAATGAAATTCACATACTGGCATAGCAACCAACCCAACAATGGAAGGACTTCTAATTGTATGTGCTACTACAAGTTCTCTACAACTGTATACAAGTGGGCCGATGAACCATGTACCAGTCGCTTTTCTTTTGTGTGCGAAAAGTGAGTATTCGATTTTATTGTAATTTTACACAAATGAGAAAGGAACCTTTGATGATAGTTTTTCTACATTATTTAAGGAATGACTGTAATATTTTTTCTGTCTATGAAGAAATAACATCAAAAATGTGGTGCACACTGAATAACTCGCGTACGAATAGACAGAAAAAATATTACAGTCATTTCTTATAATTTAATTCTAAATTCCATTTTAAACCGGAGTAAACCATGAAAAAACGTTGATGACGTCACGGTCACATGACAAAATTATGTCTATGAGCTGATAAACAAAACAACGTCAGCCACTCAGAAGACGCGTTACATCCAGAATTAAATTATTATGATATAAAATGAAAATGACACTTTATAAAGATGTGTTCGAACTGCTTGCTTGGATTTACTGCCATCAGAAACTCTCAAAACTAAACCTTATAAATGCCGTTGATGATAAAGTACTTGAATAAGTCTATAACATATTTTCTTTTAGATATTCAGTATGCAAAATTTTTACAAAACGGAAACTTTATTCTTTTTCTTTTTTTAAAATTGGCTGCAAACATTGCAGCCATTGTTGAAGGATATACTGACGTTAATACTATTGTAAAAATACATGCGAATGTTTTATTAGGATAAGACCCATTTTAGTTTGGGGTTTAGTCCTAATACCCTCTTCAAAATCTAATTGAAAGTTCCTAAATGATTTTTCAAGATTACTCATAAATACACTACGCAAAAATTCGTTCACTTCTTAAAATTCATAAATTATATGATCATTCGATTAATTTTTATCTAATATTTATTGCTTTATTTGAAAAGTTGTTCTCTATCTATACATGATATAACTATAATTCTAATATGACGTGCTTCTTTCTCTTTGTAAACAACACCGTGATAAAATTCTCGATATATCTATACTTAGCGCAGACTCCGAAATGTACATAATAATGGCTGTTAAAATATACCTCCCACGTAAATCCACATGTATCGTAACCATTGTGCAAACGCTATGTCGATTTCGCTGTGTTAAAAATTACAACTGAAAAAACCCTACAGAACCTTTATTCTTACTCTGAGGCATATCTAAAAGAATTAATGCATTGGAGATCGGACAAATGTACAAAATCAAAATAAATTAAAATTCCGCGAAATTCCATTAATGTTTTTGGCGCATTAACGTCATTTCAAAACATGACTGACGTCATACGAAAAAAAACACCAAAGCTGAAGGTTTTTCCATTGCGTTAACGGTAACCTTCTAAACTAGGATAATATTGCATTAAAATAAAGTTTTGAGGTAGGTGTTGCTTTTTTTCTATTCTATTGCATTATTCGCACATTCGTACAAAATGTCAACAGTGAATTTGACGGAAGCTTTCGAGAAAAAAATGAAAATTAAAAATGGCAAATGTTAGGTTTGAGACTTCAAAGAATCAATCACATTTTTTCTAGCGGTTATTTAAGAAACGGTTCATGCAAGCTACAGATTTATTAGATTTTTTTACATTTATCTAACAGTGGGTAAACTAGAACAGCCACACACACGGCATTCCAACCCTCGCTTCAGTTTTTTAATGACCGTATTTCTCCTATCAGAATCGAAATAATTCATGGAAGCCATGCATAGATTTGTTGTAAATTTACACATGGCCTTGGCCGTGATATTCGTTTATTTTATCCCTCGCTAACGCTCAGGATAAAATTCGAATATCACGGCCCAGGCCATGTGTAAATTTCCAACAAATCTATGGCTTTCATGAATTATTTCTTAAACGTGTTTGCGTACATGTAACTAATATAACGCAATATGTAGTTATTGTAACTATTGTAACGCTGCTGGTCTTGTCTATCAATAACATACTTGAAGTTTTCTGGACGATATATTATATAATATATGTTTTCATTGTATAAATGTGTTGTTTCAATCATATTACAACATCACTGACTTGTTCAGCATAATGTTTACAATTAGAAAAAAATAATGCTCTTTATTATTTTCCTTGTACCAAGGAGAGAAGCTGCTTAATTGATATCATTGGATAATATTCAACGAAATCGTTTCATTTGATTCTGAACACTTTGACGAAAAAGGCAATTTGGCTTTCACTGCTCAAATATGAACGATTTGTCATACTTATTTTTTTTTATAATATTTTGGTTACATATTGCAGGATAAAAAGAGACCATGCACACGACAATGGATCTGCAGCAAGTGGTGAAAACTGCATGCAAATGTGCATACAGAATAGTACAGAAGGAGTTGGAAAGTGCATGCATAAATGCCTTTGAAATATAGCAAATGTAAACTAACTGCCAGGCTGTCCAGCTGTTTAATATTAGTTATTCATAGAAGAGAATTATCTCATCACACAAAAAACACATATATATTTCATTGTAGTATTTGTAAACACTTCACGTGTTTAAATATATAACACTGGTAATATTAGACATTCAATTTGTTCTCATATCTTAATAAAAGATTTGTTTTCAATTAATAAACTATAAAGCAGTTCTTTACAAGGGGATGTATGTTAACCAGGAACCCAAAGACATAAATAAGGGATGTAGAATATTGATTAATATGGAAATCAAGCCAAACCACGATAAAACCTAGAACAAAAGACAGCAGTCAACATATAACAAGGTTCGTTACCTAAGTAAATAAAAGAATAGAAATTACACATTCAAATAAAAGAAATTATATAAATTCCTAAAGGAGAGAACCCGTTTTCTAATGGGTCGTTAGACAAGCACCTCAGCAACTGTTATGCAACATTATGTCAAAAAGCAAACCCAAAAACAGGTGCTTAATTTTTTGTTAAAATTTCCTATTCAATTACCTCCTGCGTCTGTTGCAATAAAGGCGTTTACACAATATGATGGGAACTAAAAAAAAACAGGAAAGGAGACAAAAAAATGTATTTTGTTTTCACAAGATTATCGGCGTTAAGATCTAAAGATATTTAGAACTCATTTAAGATACCAGGCTTAAAATTTAGTAAGTCATACGCACGTTTCGTCTACATAAAGCTCTCCAGTGGCACTCAAATCTAGACAAATGGAAGGTCAAATCAAATTCGACGGTGAGGACCATTACAAACAGAAACATGCAGTTCAGAATTTGTACAGAATGTTCATAGGTATTAGTATTTACATAATTGGCGAAAAAAACACGCACTGTTTTTATTTAGCTTATCAGTGTCAGATGTGTATTACTATATGATATAGCCTTTATCAAAATACTACTAGAATTGATCGAATGTGGTTGCTTAAAGTCCAGTGGCAAATATTTCATGCATGTTCAGGACGAGAACAAATTAAAAATACATACATTAGGAAGGTCCTGTATTATGAAGGTCGGGGAAAATTGGACTGCCACGGGAAAATGAGGGTATATTGGATAGGGACAGAAATGTAGCCTTGCAACAGGCCACCTACGGACCCCTCAAAGTCGTTGCAAGGGTTCTTAACGTGCAAAGTAACTTTTTATACATTGTGACCTGCATGGAGAATCGTCTCATTGACACTAACACCAAATTTTCTTATTCATATAATCAAATCAGAATCAATAATTGCCAAATCCGATGATATTTGTTATGCTGTCAAAATTGAGATATTCTTTCACAAATGAAATTCCAAGCATAGCATTGCATTTTATTCTTGTTACTGTGACTTGACTATAGGTAATACCCTTTACCTTTACCCTTTTCTTCAACCAGATTACAAAATTGACAATACAATTGGGACATTTAATTGACCAGTTGGTATTGTTAGAGTTTATGAATGGGTGATCACTCATGCTTTTACAGTCTACCTTGATGCTGCCCCATCACTTTACCTGTTCAAATGTACCTGGTGTAGTGTTTTTGAGATAATTGTTTACAAACTTACCAAGTTGTAAAAAGGCTTGATTTTTTTTCTTGGTTAATTTACATTACATGCAAACAGTTTAAATAAGTATGATATGAATGAAGCAAGACTATGGCAACAAGATGCAAACTTGTTCCATACCCGATCTAGATATTTTGCTTTTTAAAATGCATGTTGATTTCTAGACAATTTGTGAGGGTCTGGATGGGCTTTACAAAATAGACAATAAAAGATCAAATGTACAGAAAAAAATGAAACAAAAAAACAAAGAATAGAGGAATATAGGGCCAAACAATAGAGGATAGAGAATAATGGGCAAAAATATAAAGAATAAGGAAAAATTACCTAAAAAAAATAAAGAATACGAAAATGAAGGACCGCCCATCCAGACCCTAATGTGTTACTAGTATGTATAAGAAGTCCAGATTTTTCTACTTATACAAATAAATTTTATCAATTTCAAATTGATGTCCATTTTTATAACTGACGAACGAATTTCTCCAACTAAGCGTCATACTTATATTGATGATACACGAGATTGAATTTTCTTTAATATTCATTATTTCCCTTGTATTGTTGGTGAAACTCGGATGCTTGTCTTTTGCATTGGACCATATATTTGCCATCTATATAACTTTTGGTTTGTTGTGTTCGTGTATCGCTGCTACAACGTATAACTTTAATCTAATTTGTTCATATTATATAACGTTTTTCCGCAGTGGGAAGCTTGACCTGTCCATAATATCAAATATTATGCATTATATAAACCTGTTTTCAAAGCAGGTAATTTTTTTTAAACTCTATTTTCTTCTTTATGTGACAATAGTGTAACGGTATAAGCAGTGCTTTTCATGTGTATTGAAAACAATGGCGACTGCTATGACTTTTTCGAAGTAGGTGCATTTCTGCTACTGAACCGGCTTGAGGTGAAGCAGAAAGATTGAAAGTACTTTGTCAACAAAGACATTGTATTTCCCCATGAAGCCATTTTCTTGCTAATAACACGGATAAATGAATTGTTGATCTTTGTTTTCCCTCCAGATATGTTAAAAAGAACTGATGACGAAACCATCCAGCAAGACAAAATCGATTTCTGCTTAAAACCATGATATTGCTGCTTTTAACCTATACAGCAGATTT